AAATAGACACAAAAGAAAACAATGGAATTAGGGTCTACTAATGTGTGTTAGTCTGATATCTAATTCACGGGTTTAATAACTTCACTCTAAACGAGAATATAAGAAATATAACTCACCATTTTGTTATTTCATCATAGTTTGGATTACTTGCCAGCCAGTTCCGTAAAACCTAGCGAAAAAAATCGAGTGTATAAGATCTCTCTCAGATCCAATCCGAATTAACGTCTAAATTTTAATTTTTTATGCAATACGCTAAATACTATCAAAGAGTTTACCTGGAACCACTTAGGGAAGAAATGTTTTTCCAATAAACTGACAAAATGTTGTAATGGAATCACGCCTTTCCATGTCATTACCCAGTGAAATGGCTCTGAAAGACAAAAATTACTACATTACATTTTTTGAATAGCAATTCATGGTGTACTTAGATGTTACTTCAAACTAAGAGTAGGCAATCTACTTGTCAAAGGCTGCTTCTCATCTCTCCCGTAGCAGGAAAATATCAAGGAAACAATGAGGTGAGAGACAGGCAATGGTAGATTTTTGTCAAAATTCACCCAGATAAGCCGATTTTTTTTTTTTTTTGCAAAAATAGGCAAAGGTTGAGATAAGTTGTTTTGGTTGCCCTTTTCACATCTAAGTGTTGATTACCGTTAGAATATTGATCACACAGTTTAGGGCTTACCTAAGTGTTGTTGGTGAGGATTAATAACAAACTCAGAAAGGCACTGGGATAACTTTGGATAAATTGATCGTAGAACAAAGGCGTCCATGCTCCCCTTTGAAAACACCTTGAAACAACAAAAACTACAGTTAGGATTGGATGGATGGATGGATGGATGGATGGATGGATGGATGGATGGATGGAAGAATAAATGAATGCTATTAGCAACATCACTTACTTTTGTCCATGGTTCAAGAATCATCTTTGCTGATGGATCTGATGGATGCCAGTTCGTCAAAGCTGTTGCAAGTTTATAACGTATTGGTGCATACAGAGGTTCCAAGCAACCCTCTACGAATCAAAAAACATGAACCCATATTAATGATTCATAAAAGAAAAAGTCACAAGAAATAATAAATTTGAAGAGTTATGTAATTAATTATACAAAATCCTGTAAAGATCAAAGGTAAAGGTCTTATTTAACATAGATCTGTGTTCTTTTAGCTAGCTGTTTTAAGAGTATAAGGTAAAAGCTACACGAATTAGAGTCAAGTCAAAACAGACATGGAGATGCTGAGGATCAAACCATGGACCTCTAGTGCTAGCTCTAATGGCAGCAAATTAACTAACTACAATGCCATGCAAAATGAAATTCTGTCCTAATATTTTCAAGTCATACAATACTAGTTAAAAAAAAACAAACTTGTCATCGCTAATCACCACCGCAAGTACAGCAGTGGCACAGCTCAACGGGGTTGAACTGAAAGCATGTGAAGGTGCCAACTGGCAGCCGCTAGACAGTCCATGTATGAAGCCGGAGTTAAAACTTTGGTTCTTTTACTTGGGAAGGGAGGGAAATGGGGAAGGGGAAAAATGGTTTTAGAGAAACAAGGAATCAAACGAAAGATAATGTTGGGATTTAACAGCATGATAATGAAGGTACTCACTCATAAGAGGCAGCCAAGGGTGTATCCATGCGTGTATTGGAACAGCATCAGTCAATGGATTCCATGCATCTACTTCTCTCTTGATTAAACAACAATAAAACATTAAAGATCTTCCTTGATTTATGAAGCTAACACTTACTGCCAATTTTATGAACATGCAAACTTGGTCGCTGAGAGCTGCACCCTGAGATTGCTGGCTTTCACTTGATGTAATTTTCTGTCTCGTGCGGAATGTTCATCAGCTGAACCACAAGTTTTCAATAGAATTCTTTTTGGCTGACAGCACATGGTGGTCAGTGTTTGACCACCATTGGAGCAAATAATGAGATTCAAAAACTTTTATCAGCTGAGTGAAAGCCAGCAATTTGGTTTTTCCCTGCTGTCAATCAAAACTAATCAGTTGGTACCTTTTATATTTTTTTACTGGTGGCAGCCAAAAAACAAATTTTAGTGTGCAGCTCGCAGCTACCGAGTTCCAATGTTCATGAAAATGGCAGTAATAGCCAGTGGCTATCAAACCTGTTATCCTCATTTCATAATCAAATAGGAATTTAGAAGTTGATTTTTGCAGAGGGAGGAAAACCTGAGGAACTGAAACTCTTGAACTTGGGGAGAACCAACTAAAAACTCTTCTCACATGACACCGAGTACAAGAATCAATTCTACGTCACCCATGCTTCCCGACAAGTTCAAATACTCTGAATGCTAACAGTATTTTTGTCATCTACAGTATATTGCAGTTGTAACCATGGAAATAGTAAAATCTAATTGGCTAGCATAAAGTATAATTAGGATCCTACGTAGACTCAGTCTGTGATTGGCTGTGAAAAACTAGGAACAAGTTGATTAAGTAATTTTGCTCTAAAAATAATTAATAGAGTGTGCGCACTAAACCCGCACACAATAATTAGTACTAATTAGTACTATTTCATACAGAATCCTTTGTTTCCTATTGTTTAGTTATCAATATTTAGTGTTAAAAATTAGTATTAGTTTCACTGGTTAAGTGTGAGCACTCTACTAACAAAATTCCAAATGAAATTCAACAACCAACCTGTAATCGAGGTAAGATTAACAAATTCTTGATGTTCTCAATAACCCACGGAGGTAAAAGAGGCAGCCAGTGTTCTATTACTGTAATCATGGGATCACTGTCACGACAGTTCCATATACTACAGCAACAAAAAATCACATTTCAGTGACATATATTAAAAGTGTTTTTAAAAAGATTTATATTAAAACGTTTTTACAGAAGCTGCACACATTACAAAAAAATGTATAGTTCCAGAATTTATCCATCCCCCCTCCCCTCCCCAAACACACACAGAGAAATTTGGAATTTTCGTCAGAGAAAGAAAGAGATTATAGATTTGTATCAAAGAAAATTGGAATTTCAGTGGGTAGAGGGGTTTTTTAAAAAAATTCCTCTTTTTGAGGGGGGACTGTCTGGTATGGATAATTTCTGGGACTACACGATATCATTGACCACTGACAAGTCATTAATCTGCACACAGAAAATAACAGGACAGAACATGACTAGACTGACCTGACTGCTGTTCTTATCAATGGCATCCATACTTCCCACACCAACTGTTCATAGATGTCCATGCTGTTTATGACAATACAGATACAGTACATTCAATCACAATCAGAGAAGAGGAAGAAATAATCCAGATAACTCCAGACATGACATAAATCAGGGGTGGTGTGGCGTTAGTACATGTACACCCCCCTTGCACCTCATAAGTCTAGAGTTTGATTGCCGGACTCATTATCACATATGACAAGAGTTCATTAGGTCTCTTCCTTGATTTGAGGGTTTTCCTCCCTCTGTAAACCTAACAAGTTTTGTCAATTAAAATTTGATGTGTGAGCTAAATGTACCCTGATTTTGACCAGCCCAGAGATAGTGATTTAGTCAGGGTTTGATAATTTGACATTGACATATAGTTCTATGCAGTTTAGCACCCATACATCAAACTTATAGCAGTCTGTGTGAGTATTGTTTGATTGTTGAGCCAAAAAATGAAGGGGGGTCACAAAATCATGAATGTGTACATACAATGTAGTTCCAGAAAATATCCATACCCCACCATGGAGGGAATTTGTAAAAGGACCCCCACCCCCTACCCCCAGGAACTTCCAATTTTCTTCCATACAAACTGCATTTTTTTCTTTCTCTAACCCCCTTCCCCTTCAGAATTTCCAATTTCCTCCATGGGTGGGGTATGGAAATTTTTCGAAACTACACAATAAAGATCTCCTACCTGTTGGTGTCCAGAGGAGTTCCTTGTGACAGAGTAAATGCAGATGGTTTGCCACTTTGTAGAAGATCTTTCCATGTCTTAAAGACATCCAGTCCATAGGTGGGGTTTATTAGTGGACTCCATCTACTCAGATATTCTTTTATCTGTCAATGCAGAAAGAGAATATAACAATCAATGAACATGCACCAATATTACATGTAGTAGATTTGTCACTGATTTGGCATATTCCCATGGTGCAGGAATTAGCAGGGGGAGGGGGTTAATCTATTTTTTTTGTCATAACTAAACTCAAGCTAAGAGAAAGAGAGATAAGATGAGAAAATGGCGTTATTCTTGTAAAAAGTGGTTTAGCCCCCTTTCCTCCATCTCTTTTGTCCCTGTGGTATTTCTTCATCTGTTCATACTCTCACAAGTTTAGAACAGATTTACATGACTGTTGAGCATCTACCATTGCACAGGAAGCTCCATGGGGTTTGCATTGGGTGGCTAACAACACGCAATCAAAATTGGTGTTTAAAAATAAATAAAGGCTTTCAGATTTTCTGATCTTTCTGACTAGATCTATTTCAGAACCATGCAAGCAAAAATTCAAGGAGTTTCAAGGAGTTTCACTAAAATCGTAAAATTCAAGAGCTTTTCAAGTGCCCTTGAAAACATGAATTAAATTCAAGGGGTTTTCAAGAAATACAGCAGCATGAGCCCATGAACTCTGTGTTGTGTAAAATTGGTTGCTTAAGGAAGTTAGTTCAGTGATAAAGCCACTCAGATGTGAAACTTCTCCCAGGTATATGTCTACCATGATGTATAAGTAATTTTCTCCAAAGGTCAAGGTAAAATGCATCAAATGCATTAAAAATAATATTCAATATGAATGAATGCAAATCCTTTATTTAAGCAGGGTATTCCCTTCAGTAACTAAAGTATTATATCAACGGGAGCCCTATAAAATATAGCAATAATATATAGCAATAATATACAAAAGCAATAATATATAGCAAGGAAAAATTTGATCCTGTTTAGTTTGTACTTACCAAGGGAAATACTAAAGGTATTGCTAGTGATGATAATTCATACATCTACAAAGAAAGAGACAGGTTATAGTCATGTACTTAAAGTTCTACGTAGGTGTTTGCTATTTATACAATCCAAACTGTAAAATTGTGGTTTATTTATTTGGCAAGATTTTGTTTGAAAATCTAAAATACACTAGAGTGTAAACCATATAACCATGAAATAGCACAAAAACTAAATAGCAATAAACACATCTATTTCTTTAATTTTTAATTGTTTCATTGGTGCTATTTTGTACTAATTAGTTAGTACTCTTTCATGGATATATGGTTTGCACTCTACCACCTTGCTGCAATGATGCAGGTCACATATTCACTTGTTTTCAATTGTTTCATTGGTGCTATTTTGTACTAATCAGTTAATACTATTTCACGGATATATGCCTTGGTTTACACTCTATCATAATATACTATAAGATTAAGTACAGATAAATGACTTCAACGAGCAGCAATTCAGGTGCATTATTCTCCACTACTGTTAAGTCCTCCTTTGCTAAACTTCTTACCATATATTCCTCATGAAATTCATCTTGTAATAGTTTAAACATGTCCTCGCATTTTTGAAGTGTCAAAGAATCTTCTATTGATGAGAGTGAGTGAGCTCTGCACCTATAAAACCATAAATGTAATCATAATAAGAGCCTAGGAACAGCTGTCATGCAGACCCCCTAGCAGCATGGGGAAGGGGGGCAAAAACAAAATATGATTCCAAATGTTGGGACTTTAGCAAGTTTAATCTCGACTGTAATTAGCATATAACAGTAGCAATTTTCATTGGAGTTCCAGTTCAATTTGTCAAGAAACACATGTAACTACATATGTAGAAGGGGTCTGCAATAGTACCTAACTCAGTGCGATGTCCAAAAGGTAAGAGGTGAGCTACTTATTGGAGAAAGAGCTTTTACACACCCATCAATGAAACTTTTATTAAAAATTAAAATATTATTAAATTGTCTTAATAGATGTGGCTAACAAACTTGAATTGTGGCCCTCATTTCCCAATGATCAATTGTCAAAAGTTTGATTTTTGTGGAATAAATGCACTACATTTTCATAGCTTCTATAGTAACCATGGAAACAATCACCTGTCAATCACTTGCATGACATCTGTCAGTCTTTTAATCTGTTTATCTTCTTGGTTTATTACTTCGGCAATCCTTTCTGACTCATATTTCAAGTTGGTTACCATGTCTTGCTCAAATTTCAGTCTGCATGTTGAACAAAGAAATTAGTGGTTCAATTCTTTTATATAGAACGGCACAAAATTGTGGCTCTTTTTTGGTGTTGCAGGGCACCTGAGTCATAGAGAAAATAAAACAATAGCTGAGAACAATGAGTTTGTGGCTAGCAAATACCCTGCAATATAAAGAATGGCAACTCAGAATACAATACCTATTGCAACACCAAGAAATTTAAGGCTCAAAAGAGTTTGATTCACATGGAATGTTATTTTCCCAAATCTATACCAATTTAAAATTTTATACATTGAAACCAGATAAAAATTATTGACACTAACTTCGGACCTAATTTTCATGTGACCATTCAATCAGAATGCACAATTTTTAGGATTTTAGATCAAAAGTTTTTAAAATTGAAAACATGAATGCACTTACTCTTTATCTATTTGAACAATCTCTGTTTCTGTCATGTCTACCAGGAGGTTCAGGTTGTACATCAGTTCAGGCATTGCAAAAGCAGCTTCAGCTTCCTCAACTGTAAGGTACATTAAAAAAATTTTTTTTTATTTTAACATATTTGACTAAACATTTGCCCCAAAAGCTGTAAAGCTTAACAAGGGGGCTCACATCCATAATATTTACAGTACAAAGAAAGAAAATTATAAAATAATTGGGATACTACGCGCGCTATGATTGGTCGAAAACCATGTTTGATGAGAGTATCAAAACACGCTATCGTCATTGTTAATCTATCACACACGCTCATTGGTCAGTTTGAATAAGACGGCACGTAGGGAGAATTTACTTAGACTTTGCTTTTTTTCCGATCTTTTCGCGCGTTTGTTATTTTATAAAACAAATCAAAAATAGTTTTCTGTGTTTGATACTCTGATCAAAACACTTGGGATGTTGGGAGAACACTCGAGAAGCTGGAAACCACTCCACTACGTGTCGTGGTTTCCTACGCTCCACTCGTGTTCTCCCAACATCCCGCGTGTTTTGATCAGAGTATCAAACACGGAAAACTGTTTTTGATCTGTTAATTAAAAGGTACATTTTATTTACAACAAAAGTTTGAGAAATAATATTGAGTAAAACACAGGCTGTGGACAAAAATTAAAAGAGGGAGGGGCCACACTTTTTAACTCCAAGCCCCCCCCTACCCCCCTACCCCCCAAAAAATACAAACACTACCCCAATGTTTGTTATATGTACCTGTAGTAGTTGCTGGAATTTCACCAGGTTTAGCATGTTGCTGTGACAAGGAACCATACCCCGTCAAGATCTTAGCTTCTGGACCTGTCATGTCAACTACCTTTTATCCAACAAGAAAAATGACATGGAATCAATAAGCATAAATTATGCTCAAAATCTTTCAATCCCAGACTTATTTGTGCTGGTTTATTATTTCATTCACTGTGATGATCAACATATCTATCATCATTTCACCACAGTTCTACCCATTCAATATTCACACTTATTACATATAGTGGCTTGATGAACCCAACAAAAAAAAATGACTGCTCGCCAACAGGATTGGCTTCATAGCTCAGTTGGTAGAGCATCGCACCGGCATCRCGGAGGTCATGGGTTCGATTCCCGTTGAAGCTTGAAATCATTTTTTCAAGTCTTTCTTTACAGTGTTTGCTTAGATCGCTCATTCACTAAGATGATCAACACATCTATCTTTATTATTTCTACAAAGTCAGTGAAATACTAATTTTTATGTTGATAGCTGTGAAAGATGGTGTTGCATGAATTCCATATTGACGACATTCTTACAACCAGCTTTGCACAAATCAAAATGCTCAGATAGTTACAGGATGATACAGTACCTCTTTATTGGTACATATTTCACAGTCATAATATCTGCTTAAGTGGAGCATAATGGGAAAGTGGCAGTAACAGCTTTAGTGAAAAGTCTGTAATAGACCCATCCCGAATTCGCCTGACTGGTCACGAAACAATGGTTTCAAGTCAAGGTTGAACTCGATGAATAAAAGAATCAAGTTCAATCTTCAAACCATTGTTTCGTGTTCAGTCAAGTGAATTCGGGATAGGTCTATTGTTTAGGAACAAGTCTTTAACATGGCATCTGCCCCCACTCCCCACCCCCCTTCCCTACAAACACACGCTCATACACTTGTTACAATTGGGTACAATTGTTTGGCTATAAAATAAGAGAACTTAATAAAGCTGTTATAATTTTATTACTTCATACTATAATTATTCTATCCATTACATAACTGTAGAGTGTTTTGAATGGTACCATCACATTACAGTACCTTGACTTTGCTGTGTTTTAAAGAGACAGATGGTCCTTTCTTAGTCACACCTGTAGCCTAAACAGAATATCAATGCATATTTAGTTAGTAGCAAGGCTTAAAAATTGACAGTTTAATAGGCTGAAGTTTTGATGTACTTGTTACACCTGCAGTACTGTGTATATACACAAACTGATTGGCTGGCTTATCTTGAAAAGAAACAGATGGTACAATGGCTTAAAACAACAGTTAATGTACAACAACGTCTGACGAGAATTGGAATTTGTCCAGTGAAATCTTTGCCTTGCCAGTCATTTTGACAAGTAATGTTGAGCCAGAAACAAGGTATGACTGACTGAGATAAAACTAATTTGGCAGGTGATCATGAAAGGAGACTGATGGCCAGCCATAATCCCTGGATACACTGCAAAAATAGAATCACTCACCTTGACTTCATCTGCTGTCTTGTAAATGTACTTTGGTGAAGCTTTTCCAGTCTAAAAAATATGGAGATAATACAATGACAAATTTTAGTAAGTGAAATGGCGTGTGAAGAATGACAGCTCCAGATTATATTAGGATTGTAATGCATAACATCTATGATAAATAACTTGCCTTTGAAGATTTCTTCCACTGATGAAGCTTCTCTTTAAACTTTTTGTCCTCTTCTTCCTCTTCATCATATTGAATTTTCCCCTAAGATTTGATACCAAAGAATATAATAATGATGATAAATAATTCACTTTATTATGGTCTCAAATCTTTGCCACAGTGTATTTGAGGAGGCACGATGAAATAATACTCTGGGGAATGACATGTGATCTGAATTGAGAAACATTACACCCAAGCTTTTAAGGGTCTATCTTTGTTAGTGCTTCAAGCTTCTGTAATTTGAAGACATTTTTACAGAAAAGGGTCATCAACCCTGTTCCTTACCCCCAAACCTGGAGATCTCACTTTATTAATCACCTTAGTTTTGACCTCAGGTCCATACATGCCCAGTGCTCCTCTTCCTTCTCTCTTGAATGCCTCTACAGGCTGCACTCTTCCCTGTTTCCAATTCAATTAAATAGCTCATTAGTTGAATGAAATGCAATTGTGTAGCATAAAGTGTAGTCTATGTGCAACCAGACTTTTCTCTTGCATAGTCCATGGACTTAACACGCAGATACGTTTGTACGGCTGTATGCAGGCTACATGAAGCGAAGTAAACTTTTTTTTTGTATTTTATTTGAAGTGAAGCAAAGAGCAGTAGTTCTTTTACCTTGCCCTCCTTTCCAAGACCTTGTCCAGGTTGGTAACCCATCTAGTATAAAAGAGGGATAATATTATGTTATTGTCATTAATTATTATTAATTATACAGCTTCTTATTAATCCCATATAGGTAACTGTCAAATTATTTTCTTAGTTGGACAGGTCTTGTTGATATGGGATTAATTAGGCAGCTACATAATAAATAGGTAATGGGATTTCATGCTTCCCAATCAAGAAATAATAGACTCGAAAAATTCCTCTGACTGCCAAATAGGACTCGGCCTATGGCCTCAACCAATTTTGTCAGTCCTCGGAATTTTCCAAATCCAATTTTTTCTTAATTGGACAGCATGGAGTCCTATTACATATACTAATAAACATTACTATGCAGACACATTAACTGGGAACACTTGAAGAAAGTTAACCAATCACGATATAGAGTGAAACTAAAAAAATCAAACTGTCAAATTTAAGCCAATCAGGAGCAAGCAATGAAGAGTAGATTTCTGAGATAAACCTAGATTTTATCAACAACCGTGGGAATGATTGTGATTGGCTGAGATCAATATGATACTGATTTTGCTCTCTTCTGATTGGCTAAAGTCTTTTTTAATCTTAAATTTTGTTTAAGTGGTCCCTGTTACTGTGCCCACACAGTAAATCTCAAAACCATTTGAAGATATATAATGACTTTAGGAACAAAAACAATAGCATATCATCTGATGTATCATGAACTGGCCACCTAATGTACCTTGTGTAACATTTTCATTCCAAATCCTTTGGTGTGTTTTTCCCATGATCCAAATTCTCTGTAAAAACAATTTTATGAGTCAGTGAAAAACAACTCAGAAAATAATTGAATATTTAATACAGCTATGTATCTTGTATGACCAGCTAAGTGTGTGAAAATGAAGTGCAAATGGTATTAAAAGTACAATGTTTAAATGATGTACTGTAACACACAGTTTACAATAACAGAGCATATTCTTGCAATCTGATTGGCTGATAGCTGTGATCAAAAAAAGGACGGACACATAAACTGTTTTTCTTTTGAACTTTTCCAATGTTTTTATTTTATTTTATTGTAAAAAAATCTCTCATAGATTTCCATTGCCTGTCCTCTTATTGATCATAGATGACTCTTAAAATGTTCAAAACTCAAGTGGAACCATGAGTACAGCTGTTATTATCTAAAGATGTGTCCACTCAAATCAACAAATATTTCATCATTTAACTATTCGCCTCAGAATCAATACCAAAAGTACTAAATTAGGGCTTATGTGCAATATTTCCAAAGTTAATATCAGTTCAAATATTTACTTACTTTCCTCCGGTTTTCTGAAGTCTTTTTGCATACATTTGGGTTGCTTGAAATTTGATCAAACAAATACATATCAAGTTAAATTCTCTTATACATATACATGTACATGCATGTACTGTACTTCAAAGACATACATAAAGAATTCCTGTAGCAGTTCTTATAGACCTCTAAATATGTACAGTATCATATAATAATAATAATAATAATGATGATGATGATGATGATGATGATGATAAGAATAATAAAATAGCATCTATCCAGAACTGCTCTAGGTGCTCAGGAAAAAACTCAAGAAATATTCAAATGTTTTTACAAATTGAATGCTAGTTTTAATAGATGACTTGAAGAACAAGAGGCTTGCATTGTTTCTTATTGAAGATGAAAGAGAGCTCCAGAGTTCAGGAGCAGAGACGGAAAAAGGCAAATAACCATAGGATTTGATGCGATATTTCTTATGTTTTTTTAAATGTTTTTTTACTTAAAAGTAACAGACCAGATGAAGAGGGTAAGGTCTCAATGGTGTATAATGAGAATCATGTCAGAAACATAGGAGTCAAGTCGTAGAGTGATTTGAAAGCAATGAGTAGAATCTTGAATTCTTTAATATCAAGACTATTTATTAGAGGTATTAGGTTTCATAGTTCATTGATTGATATTCATATGGTAATATTGTGTACTTCATAACCAGCAGACAGTTGTTCGTCAGCTGTCGCCTGAATGTCGACCATGCATTCCTCAATTATATGTTAATATATAGATCTTCTAAATTATTTCTGTCAAATAAAGATACAATATGCTAGGGAATTATCATGATATAGGTCTGAAAAACATCACAATACCCAAAGTAAAGAGGTACATGTGTTGCAGCTTAACTTGCATGGAGGAAAAACAGGATAACCTATTAAAGGTTAAATATTAACTAGTTGAATCTAAAATTAATAGCCAGCATAGGTAAAACAGATTGTAATCTAACTCACCTGCATTGCCAGGTTCATTGTATGATGACGACACTCCTTTGCCTTTGAACAACTTCTTGCTTTTAAATGTTCTACTCTTGTGTTCACTCTCTTCACTTCCACTACTGTTTTCTAAAAGTATTCAATTTAATCAATCTTTATTACCACATATCAAAAAATTAATTAAAAGAACATGGGTGGGTAGGATGCAGGCTACCCTCAGGAAATTGACATTATTTAGTGCCCCCACAGTAGGGAATTTTACCTCCATCTTGGAAAAGCCTGAGTTTATAACAAAGTGTTTATATAAAAACATAAACCATTGTAAAAAAAAACCTTGAAATCTCTTGTAATGTAAATTATGAACTTGCTATAATTCAATCATTCGTTCTGCAATAAACTTGCAATGCAAATTAACAGTACCCAGCGTAGGCAATTAATGAAATCGATTATCGATAACAATCGATGACATTCTATGAAAATTGATACTGATTAATTGATTAGTATTGGAAATCGGTGACCAATCAATGCCACAAACATCTGTCAGTGACCTTCTATCAAATCTAATAACAAAATATTACATTGATCGATGAACAATCGATGATCGATATTCATCGATTGGCATTCCGTCTTGTGAACTAATTATCAATCAACTAATCATATCGATTGCTCTTGAGTCATCGAGTGGGTTTTCGATGATCGATTTCCATCGATTGCCTACGCCGGGAACAGTAGCAATAGTTGGTGTTTACAAACATTAGCATTGTGATGTCAATTTGACAATCATTATCATAAAAGTTCTTGTCAAGTTGCTTTGTTTCAACAGGGAGCAGGGCTGTCAACCCCCGAGATATTCAAATCTGGAGAATTGATAGGTAAGGGACATGACGTCACAGCGCGTCAAAAAGCGCGCGAAAAGACACCTTTCGCTTTGTRACATTTGATGTGATTGGTTTATTTSTGACCAATCAGATTTTCGCTTACATTACAATGGCCTGCTTGCAAGAACAGTTTATGAGGAACGTTTTGATTTTGTTAGCGATATAAAACAACGCAAACAACATAAAATAATTGGAATTTTATGGTTGTGAAAGTCGAGTCTCACAAGAAATGGTCAGCTTCGGCGATTATCCGGGAGATTTGAGACTCTAATCTGGAGACCGGGAGATACGGCCCAAAATCTGGAGACTCCCGGCTTATCCGGGAGAGTTGACAGCCCTGAGGGAGGTGGTTGGCATAGTAATGACAATAGCTTACATCACAGCAATTAGTGCTAGAAATGAGCTTACCTTCCTTGTCGTCATCATTTTCTTCTTCATCTTCTTCATTCTGCTTCCCTTTCTGTACAACACCACCACTAATGAAACTAAGAGGTCGGCTATAATCCTTCTTTCTTTTTCCACGGCCATAGCTGTCACCCTCATCTGAGTCGTACTCTGCCCACATACCATATGTAGCCTCCTCTTTTAATCTCTTACTTGACTTGTACGGCCTGAAGCCAAGGCCAAGTAGACCTGCATGCATGATATCATTATCGGTGATCTCAAAAGATTCAACTTCTTCCTCTTCCTCCATCTTACGATATACTGTATTTACTAAAACTGCTTTAATTGCTGCCCAAAACTATCCAAACGACTTGATTCAAAGAACGTCAAAAGTATGTCAGTCAGTCCGCCATCTTGTTTATGCTGCATTACTTTTGGTCAGCAGCAAAAAACGAGAGAGAGGGGCTCTGGGAACGACCCTTTGGGTTACCTGTGTTTTGATAAAAATCAGGAATGTGACAGATGTGTCACAGATTATGTACTTATTGACTGAGTGGGAGGGCTGTACGGGAAAATATTTGGCTCGAGGTGATGCCGTACGGACCGAGCGCAGCGAGGTCCGTACAAATGACCGAGAGCCAAATATTTTCCCGTACGGCCCGACCTAACTCAGGCAATAAGCATTTTRTCATATGACCCTCACGAAAAAATCAATAAAAAAATAAAAGAAAGAAAGAAATAGTAAATAAAAGCTAAAAAAGAGAAAGCGCGCGGATTCGAGCAGGGCCGGACGGTTTTTTCCGGCCCGCTTACGTCAACCCGTCCGGCCCCCATCACGTGACTTTTTCCAATGGTTTTATTAGAGAGCGCGCGAGCAGGGCCGTACGGGTCATATGATAAGTGTATTTTGTTTGCGCCCCTGAAACGCCGCGAACCAAAAAAAAAAAAACGGTCTTACGTTTTACGTTTTATTTACGAAAATAAATAATTTAAGAACCAGCATTTCATTTTACGTTTTCATTTTACAAAAAAAATAATTTGAAATTACCGTACAAAATCCAAAAAGCCGCTATTTTGTTGCCACGAATGGGGGCTCTGGCACCCTTGGCACCCCCCTGGCTACGCCCTTGCTTTTAGGGGTAAAAATCATTAGTTGCCACACCCACATGCACGAGACTGAGATATCTATCTCTAAAGCCTGGTTCCACACTAGCCTTGGAATCGGAACTCAGTGTACTACTTGTCTCTTTTCACACCTAGGTGATAAAATTCCCAATAAGCATCCTCTTTGGTTGTTTCTAATCAAAATTTGATCTCACCGTTAATTGTGTTGTATAATTTTTGTGAAAATTTTCAATATGACATTCTTTGGAGGTCATAAATAATTTTCAGAGATCATGAAAATTTACTAAGCCCCCAGCCTTTAATAACCCCACCTACCTTCTTCTAATAAGCCATAGTAGTCCAAAAGCACGAAAAAAGAATAAGCCCTTAGGGGGCTATTAGCACCACTCCTGGTGAGAATAATATCACCGTAGGGATCCCCGTAAGCGAGGGTTTGAACTATACCATATATCTCCTTATTAGGTAAGTGGGTCTTTGTTATCCAAGATGGCGACCGGCGAAAGTCGTGGATGGCCCGATACGAAGGAAGGTTATGAGCTTGAAGAAGTTATCGGTAAATCATTAAATTTAAACTCTTCTCTTCTCAAAAAAGCAATGATTAATTAAGCTTTTCGTTTCAATTTTATTTCAGGGTATGGCGCCACGGCCGTTGTTCAAGCAGCTCGTTGTGGGGCACGGCGCGAGAGAGTGGCCATCAAACGAATCGACTTGGAGAAGTGTGGAGCAAGTATCGATGAAATGATGGTACTAAAAAGTTTCTAACTATTCTTTTATTGCTATTTTACCTATACATCTAAAATGCCTTGTTCTTTCTTTTTGCATATTTATGCGAAGGGCAGTTTAACTTGGCATTTAGGTAACATTTTTCGTTCACTCAAGCTGACTTTTTTCTCTTTGCACCTTGCGAAGTTGATCAAGGTTGAGCTTCTCCAAAATTAGATTTTTTTGGCTTAGTACTTATTATATAAATACCACAAAAATGGTTTGGTCCGATCGCTAAGTTGTGGGGTTTCGCTTTTTTTTGGTTTGTAGCTCACGGTTGATACTCTGTCATGTAAAACCAAATCACTGACATCCGATCAATATCAATGACACCGCTAATAAATATGTGGTATTCCTGATGAATAATACAATATTAGGCGTTTATGTAGCGTTTATTATTAAACACAGTTGTAATGATGTTTTGTATTATAATTCAAATAATCTACAAGTAATATACGAACTTGAACTGACAAACAATCAATGTAACATTCATTGATTATAAAAACAAGAGACAATGAAAGGCAGTTAATAGTATTGTCCTAAAATTTCAAATATTTCTCATGCTTGAAGTATTTCTTTATTATTTCTTACTTTTCTGCTTTTACACCTTATAATTTTATTTCATTTAAATTTGTATTTGAGTSTTCAGTTATTCCTGTTATTGTTATGTGAAAAATATAACTGTCATTTGAAAACATCAGTGTGTAAAGACAAAACAAAACAAAATACATTATTATTTAATTCCATTTAAAAATGATCAGAATTTGCACAACCTTTTTTTGTTGACCATAGTCAAGGCTTTGCTTCCCTGCTAGCAGAGTCTCTCTTCTATTTCTCTTCCTTCTTTCAGGAGGAGGGAGACTCTGCCAATGTAGAGCGTTTCCTTTGATACCAGTTTTAAGGTGGCTGCCTACTTTTGAACGTTCGAATTGAGCCCACGATGAGCGCGCGCTCAAAAACCGCTGAAAAATCTACAAGATTTTATTGAAGAACCATACGCGTTTTGAGCTTCAACAGGGCAAAACCCTCATATTTTGCACGGGACTCTATATTTTTTGATAGCCCATTCGAAAAAACTCCTAAAAATCTAGGTTATATCAACATTTTAGGAAAAGTTTAAATCAGGAACACGTGAAAAAATAGATTTTTGTAGGGATTTTTGTTCAACTTTATGAGATTTTTTGAGAGCACGGAAACTACAAAATATGACAAATCAATGTATCTCTCTGTCTTTTTGTCGAAAATATCCATGTATTATTGTAGAATGATTGACTAGCCTTCATTC